AAATGTATTCACTAATATTCACTTTTTGTATGATAATTGTAAAAAGCTAGGAGCTGTAAAAAGTACATCACATCACGTTCTACACATTCATATCCTGAATTTTTTTGAATATTTTGTTTGTAACATACCGCACACCATCTTTGAGCATTAATCTTTTATTATCATTTTTAATATTCGTTCATTAAATATATCTTTTCATTATTGATTCATCAAATGTATAAAATTCTATCTTTTTGTGAGTAAATATTTACTTTTTGATAACTATTTTTGCACTAAAAGAACTTCCTTATTTGTCACACTTAAAATTAAATTTAAACACGTTTAAAAGACAATTATTGAAACAAAAGCTCTGTAATTATCTAGTAATAACTTTTTTGACAAGTAGACTTATAATTACTGATGAACAAGAAGAAAATATAAGGAGATGAGCAAAACCGTAATATTACGGCATGGACATTTAAAATCCACTTTTAGTTTGCGTAATATTATGGCATGAACTGTTAACAGGTTAATCAAAAAATTTCCATTATTCTTTTTTCTTTTTTGTATGGAATTAAGTCAGCATTATAAAAAATAAATGCTGATCTAAATCTAAAGGATTGTGTGTATGTGTGTGTGTGTGTGTGTGTGTGTGTGTGTGTGTGTGTGTGTGTGTGTGTGTGTGTGTGTGTGTGGAGTGTTTGTGATTTTCCAAGCTGTTCCAATTTGCAGGCTTTGTCAAGAAGCAGGAGCGATCGATCTAGAGTGGTGACCACGGAAAAAATATTTAGTTGCAAAAAACTGCCAGATTTTTCAGTGGTTTTGAGAACATTTAAGTTTATGCATGTCCATAAAACAAAAAAATTTTTATGGACATACATGGAAACATACAGAAGAATAAAAAGAATATTTGCAAACACTAAAAACCCGCCTAATCTACAAATAAACTAATTCTATTGGTTCAAAAAATACGCTGACTAAGCGAAATAAAGTTCTAGAGTAATCTGTTGATATGTTTTGAAAATTGTATTATTCATGATTTGTTAAGTTTTGATATTTCTAGCATGAATTATTTTAATAATATATTATCAAATGAACTATTACTTAAATACTATGGCTTTCTTCTCGGAGCCACATCTGCAAAGCAGTAAATTTTAAACTATTATTATTTGTTTACAAAAATATATGTTTTAAATATGTATTTTTTAAATTGTCAAAACTTTGAAAGTGAATTATATATTATAGATTTTATTAGTATATTCTTATTTTTTATTTAAAAAGTATGTATTTTTTATGTAAATGTAATTTTGTTTGTCTGTTTTTTATTCTATTGTAATCTCTTAAAGCAATTTTTACAATTTATTTTGTAAACAAAAAGACAATAATTGCGTTTTCAATTAAATTATTAATCATCAAATTTAATAAAAGTAATTATGAAATAATCATACAAGAAATTTAAAAAACATGAATAGAAAGTAATTTGCGGATGAAAAAGCAGCGCGCCTGAGGTCACGACAAAACACACACACATATATGTGTGTATATATATATATATATATATATTAAACATCCTTGCTTCCAATAAGGCTGCAAGCAACCACTAATTAGTGTTGGAAGTTACTGGAAGAGAAAAGATGAAGATTGTAGAGCAAGATAACGATTGACAGATGATTTAAAAGATTGCAAATTATATGAATCAGGAAAGCAAGATGAAGGAAGCGAATTCCAAAGAACTGATGTTTGAGGAAAAAAACTAGATGAGTAAGAGTTTTTGGAGCACTTAGGAACAATAACAGAAAAAAGATGAGACTTAATTGAATGACGAGTAACACGAGAATGAATTTTAGTAGATCGCACAAGAGACATTAGCTCTTTAGAGCAGTGCCCATTATAGTATTTGTAGAAAAGAGAAAGAGAAGCAACATTACGACGATGTGACAGAGGTTGAAGGTTGGCTACAATATATATATATATATATATATATATATATATATATATATATATATATATATATATATATATATATATATATATATATATATATATATATATATATATATATTAGTGCTGGGCAACGATTAAATATTTTAATCGCAATTAATCGCATGATTTTTTGCGATTAATCGCAGAAATACGAAAAATTCAATAATAAAACCACAAGTAGTATATATATAGCGTAAATTTATTTTTTCATAGTTAAATTAACATAACTTTTGGTTTGTCAAAACTTTAAACAATTTTATCCATTCTTCCAACTTTACTTACTCATCTGCACCAAGCCAGTTACTAAGACAAACAAGGTAATTCACATTTTCAGATGATAAAGAAACTCTCTTCTTTTGTACAATATGACCAGCAAGAGAAAACAATCTTTCACAAGGAACAGATGTTGCAGGTGTTGCCAAGTACTTCTGTGCAATTGAAGCCAGCCTGTTGTGTGAGCCTGCATGTTTGGACCACCACTGTAATGGACAGGCCTCTGTATTGATGGTGGGCTCTGCTTTGTACCGACGCACACCGTTTTCAATTGAGTCTTCCTCTTGTTCAGAATCAGACTCTGATGAAGCAACCAATAGAGCAAATTTTCTCTTTGATGGCTTTGATGTTGCTGCTTCCACAGGTTCATCTGCAATAACCCTCTGTTCCTTGAGTAAGTTTGTGATTGAGACCCACACCTCACCTCTCTCAACTCTGGGTATACACTTGAGGTCTTTGAATCTCAGGTCCAATGCGGTTGCAATCTTTAGATATGCAATGTTGGCATTTTCCTTGCGTGTTTCCAGATCTATTCTGAACATAGATTTGAATTTGACTACATAGGCCGGGTCATCATCTGAGCTCTCCATCACCCGAGAGAGATGGCATAAAACAGGCAGAACCACCGAGCATGAAACGTACTTTTCTCCACCCAGAAGTTCAGTCACATACCTGCAAAAAATAAAACCCATTTCACTCAAATGTTTTGCATTCACTTATACACACAAAAAGTGTTCTCATGTTCATGCTTACACACAAATACAGACACATCAATTCTCTCAGATGCAATCTAACCAGTCAGTAAGAAATATATGATGTAAAATATACCTGCAGGGTTCTAGGAGCTTTTCCAACCTCTGCAATTTGTCCATTTCAGCTGGAGTTGGCATAGCAACTTTTGTGTTGTATGTGGTGAGGACATCGCTCAGTGGCTGTTCGTTTCTGCGAACACTTTTTATCATGTCCAGAGTCGAGTTCCATCTGGTTGGAATGTCTTGTATAAGCGACTCATTCTTTTGTCCAAGCTCAATTTGTTTTTTTTCTAATTCTGCAGCACTTGCTGGACTGTGTTTAAAATGGCCCACCACCTTTCTGCATTTAGCCAGGGCATTGTCAAACGTGCTGTTGTGCAAAGATACTGTGACAGAACGCTGAAGACTGTGAGCGACATAAGGGACGCGTTCAAAAAGCAGATGTCTTGCAGCAGCGACAATATTTCTAGCACAATCTGTGCTAAGTGTGCTGACTTTATTTAAAATGTCCCACTGCTGTGCAACATGAATGAAATGTTCTGCACACGTTTTAGCAAAATGTCTTTCTTGTGTCTTCATTACTGTCAAAGCATGTGAATGCAGTTTCCATTGTTCATCAATGTAATGCACAGTTACTCCGAGATAATTATGGTTACCCAGCGATGTCCAGTAGTCTCCGGTGAGGGCAACAGTTTGTGCACGTTGTAATGCCGTTGCCTTTATAGTCCTCTCGTTTTCATACAGTTCATGTATTTTTCTTACAATGGTGCGTCTTGGCGGAGGCTCATACGTGCAGTCATTCGTAGCGATCTGAATAACATTCTTCAAACCGACATCTTCCACAATACTAGTTGGCCTGCAATTTGTAGCTACCCACTTTGCAATGGCATTTGTTATCTTGTCTTTCTTTTGTTTCTCTGTAGTTGTCCCTCGTGCTGCATCTAACGTAGTCTGCCGAAGGTTTCCTCCACTGTTTGTTTGGGTGGATGATTTGTTAGCATCAACGGTGTGCATTGCATTTAAGCGATACTTCAAACTTGAAGTACTCCGATGATAAGAAAATTCCGCTTTGCAGTGTTTACAAATAGCTTTAGTTCTATCTACTCCTTGTTGAAGAGGTTTAAAATAAAAGTGTCCGTTTAAAATTTCGGTACCTTTTTCCATTTTTAAATATTTCTCAATTTACTTACTGCTTGTTGTTTGAGCATAAGCAATAACATAAATAGGCACGAAAGTTTCAATTCTTTTATGATTCGATTATTATCGAATTATAAATAATTAAATTATAATTCGATTATTACATAATTTTGAAACAATACAAAATAAATAAACAAAACTATAAATAAACATAAAAATACAAAATGCAAAATAACTTTTTTAATATATTAATACTAATATAAATTATTATAATAATAATTATAAGCAATAATAAGCAAAAAATATAAAATGAGAAACGAAAACTTTGACAGACAGTTTCACAAAAGAAAAATAAAGTTAAGCTTGTGAATCTTAAAAAAAAACGAGCGGCAGAAACTCATAATGAACTCATTGTAAAGACTAATAGGTGGAAAAAAAATTTCATAAAAACTTAGCAAAAAAATATATTTTTTTACAATAATAAAATCTGGAGATTAATTTTTTAATTTAAATTTAATAGTTCTGTAAACTAAAGATTGACAGGTCTGTTTTGATGAATTTTGTGCAGCCCTGTCACTTTTTAGTTTAATGAACTATTAAATTTAAATTAAAAAGTTTACTTTTCACTTTTTAGACTTTCAAAATAAAAAGTACGTTAACGCGCGATAAAATTATTGTCGGCGTTAATTAATTAATGCGTTAACGCGATAATAACGCGTTAACTTGCCCAGCCCTAATATATATATATATATTGCATATATATATTGCATATATATATATATATATATATATATATATATATATATATATATATATATATTTACATTCTTAGATATTGGTTTACTAACTCTATTTTCGCTTCAGTTGCCATTCTTTCAAACTCATTATACTTAAAGTTACTTTTTTCTGTTTTAAATACTAATTAAAATTAAAAAGTCCACCCACTAAACATCATCAGCGGTATTGTGAAGTAGTTCTGCTTCCTCTTCATAAAGTATTTTTAACCTTTTTAGTTGATTTCTATCTAATTAATTTGATTTCTACAGTAACTCGATGATTTAATTATTTCATTTGAAGACCACAGAGGAAATAGGCACATGTCACATTTTTCAATTATTTGAGTTATGTCTCTTACTATACAAACATTAGCCTGAAGGTTAGCAAAATAGTAAAATCTAACCCAAAAAAGGTCTATGTAATGCTACACTTAGTGTCCCAAGAAATACACTAAGAACAAACATAGCGACTTTCAAAGACCAACTTTCATTTAACTAAAAAGTGGATATATGTGACATGTGCCTTTTTTCTTCTGTAGTCTTCAGTTGTTTATCTTACTAAGAAGAATTGTTTAAAATATGTTAAACTTTTCAAACTATGCGAAGCACAAAATTATTTTAAAAAAATTTAATAGGGGCCCCAAAATAGTCTTCTTGACTAATTTGGGGCCCTTAACATTTGGACTTGGGGCCATAGCAGTGGAAATAAGAAATGAGTATATAAATAAAAATTATATTATACTCTTTGATAAATAAAATAACATTTGTTTCATTATTAAGCAATTGTAATATGTTTCTTTATATAAAAAATGTTGCTTAATTTTATAAAAAATTTACAAAAGAGCAATGTTTTGAAAATATTTATTTTAAATGTAATTTATTTTGCTTTAAGTTTTTTTGCATTCAAATTTCTTTTCTTTACCTAGATTAGTATTTTTTTTTTTTTTTTTTGTAATTGTCTCTCATCTGTCCAATTAATCTTTTTTGTTCTCAAAACGACTAAAAAATCGGGCTAGTTTTTTGCAACTAAATATTATTTTTGTGGTCAGAGCTCGAGAGCAATTACTCTTAGAAAAATTCGACCAGTCACAAACTTAAAACTATAACACAAACTTAAATTTGTTTGACACCTGTACTTATTTTGTGACTGGTCAAATTTTTGTTTGACACATGTACTTATTGTTTTAAATAGTCAAAAAATCACAAAAAATTTTCGTTAAAAAAAACTCATTATAAAAAAAATACATTATTTTTTAGGGTTTGCACTAATCTGATCCTGCTATTTGCATCTTATATGTATGCAATAAGAATATGAAAAATTATGTAAATATGGTTTGTCTGCTTCCTGTAGTCATTTTGAGAAAATTTTATTTTTAAAAAAAAACACAAAAAAAAATTAATTGGACAGATGAGAGACAATTACAAAAAAAAAAAAAAAAAAAAAAAAAAAAAAAAAAAAAAAAAAAAAAACGTTTAGAACAAACATTTTCAAAACATTGCTCTTTTATAATTTTTTTATAAAATTAAGCAACATTTTTTATATGAAGAAACATCTTACAATTGCTTAATAATGAAACAAATGTTATTTTATTTATCAAAGAGTATAATATAATTTTTATTTATATACTATATTATTTTATTATATATTTTTACTTATTTGTTTGACACTGTATTTATTTTGTGACTGGTCGAATTTTTGTTTGACACCTGTACTTATTGTTTCAAGTTTTCCACTATTGTTTCAACTGAGGTCTTCATGTATAACTTAATTGAACAACTTAGCTAAACAACTTATTGCTTACACAGTATTAATATACTTAAACTCTTCTACAAATAAATAAGAAATTTTTTTAAATTTTCTTATCAATATTCTAGTAAATTAATGGCTTAAAGCAACTACAAATAACTGTTTTATAAGAAAGTTCTTTCAATTGAATTAGTAAAAAAATAAGTTTAGTTTATATTTTTCTTACCACAATGTAATTCAAGGTTTGTGACAAAAACATAGTCATCAAAATAACTGAAAATTGTTGCTATGAAAAATTTAACAAACAAAACACAAAAAACCATGCTAACATTGACGATGACAAATATTGATGGTGACAAGTATTGACAATGACAAATATTGAATAATAATAATAATATATTTGCTGTAACAACAATATATACATTGTGCAGAGCATACTGAGATGCTATAACAACCATTAATGTTATAAATTGTCATAGCTTCAAAAAAATTTAAGGATCTTGAACAAACAACATAGTTAGGCAAAGAATTCCAGTTTTTAATTATTTTGTTGTAAAAGAAGTAATTTCTTGAGAAACACTTAAATTTCTCACATTCAATTCTTTTACTGTCTATGAATGTTTGATGAAGGACCGCCTTAGGATTTAGGATTTTTGAACCAATTCACAAGTTGTAAATCATTTGCTATTTTATAGTGGTATATTAAATCCTCCCTAATTCTTTGATTTTCTAAAGTTTTTAAATTTAATTTCCTAAGCCTTTCTTCATATGGTAGGTTTTTGAGATCTCGAATAAGTTTTGTGGATCTCTTTTGCACTTTTTCAAGTTTTATTATGTAATTTTAGAGTTGGGTCCCAAACAGGTACTGCAAATTCGAGTGAGGTCTCACTAGTGTAATATACAATGATTTTACTATATCGGAATTTAAATAAGTAAAAGTCCTTTTTATCAAACCCTTTGTTGTGACCTTTGCACTTTAGCAACTGCTGATTTTACTTGCTCGTGCCATTTTAGACCAGATGATATTATGACTATGAATGAATGACAATGAAAAATATTGACAATGACTAATATTGAGGATGAAACACAGTTTTTTAGCAAACAAAACATAAATTAATTATTAGTAATTTACTTATGCAAATAGTTTGCGACATACTAACATCATGCCATACTTTTAATGTCTGCTTTTTTTTTAATTTGAGTAATTACTATAAAACAATATCAGTGATTAAAAAAGTTGTATTATTAGATTTTTACAAGATCTTTAAGACTCATTAACATCAAGTGATGAAAACATAAGTTATTATGGAGAGCTGGTTTATTTTATTGAGAAATTTTTACAATGATATTAATTTTTACAATGATATTAATTTCCTATCAAACCTTTTATTTAGTGTATGACATACACTAAGTAAAAAGTTTGATAGGACTTACAAAAATCAATTATTTTATTTTTTGACTAAACTTATCAGTCATTTTTCAAGCATTTCTTAACTAATTTAGTTAAACAAAATAAAAAAGTACGAAGCCACTTTAGAAATTTTTTATTGTAAAAATTGTAAAGCATACTATTAGTATGCTTTACAATTATACTAATAAATGCTAAGTATACTAATAATATGCTATAATATTGTAAAGTATACTAATAGTATGCCTTAATATGTTTACAATGAAAAATTTGTAAACTGCCTTTACACTTTTTTATTTTGTTTAAGTTAATTGAGGTAGTTGAGAAAAATTGGCATGCACAGTTTCAATAAGTTAAAACAATTGCTTTCCAAAACAACTGATTTGACAAAATTAAATTGCAAATAAAATTGATCTTTTTATATAAAAAATAAAATTTAGTAACTGCCACCATTGTATAAATAAAAATCTAGAAATCTAGAAAAAAGTTTAAAAATCAATATTTTCTAAACTTGATAGCTCTCCATGCAATGTATACAAAAAATATATGTGTCAGTGAAAAATTTGCTTGAAGGCTTCTTTATGCTCAATCTGACTTTGAATAGTTATGTTTTTTTCTATATAAATTAAAATACATACACAATAAAAAAAACGAAAATTTTGAATTAAAAATATTTTTTTAACAGCAATTTATTATTGTTCTTTATATATTCAAATTTCAAGTCAAAATTTTTTAAGTGTAAAGCTAACTACTCATATTACTTCTAAAACTTGTTGAAATATGTGAGTACACTATTTTAAGATGTAACCATATGTTTAGCTATATATGCAGTTGACATATGTGAGTACACTATTTTAAGATGTATCCATATTACTGATTATATATGCAGTTGACATATATGAGTAAGATTCATATGACTATTTAGACTATTTAATTGAATAACTTAATTTAATTTATTTACAAAATAATGTGTTTTTGGTTATTGCTTTAAATTGTAGTAAACTAATTGTTGTTACATTGGTTTTATTAAATCATTATTAAAATTTTTACTTTTAGAATAATTGAAATTACTTAAAAATTGTTAGGTTTTTTTAAATGAAATTTAAAATTTTAAAATACTATTGACCTGATTATTAACTGATTTATAAACATCTATATTATACATATATAATTATCTATATAACTTTAAAATTGTACAATATCAATTATATATAAAGTTATATAGATAATTATATACATATATAATTATCTATATAACTTTAAAATTCTACAATATCAATTTAAAACACCTTTAAATTGATATTGTAGAATTTTAAATGATATTTTTTTAATTTTTATATTTTAAAAAATATTTTGTATTTTAAAATGTTCAAAACCATAATACTTTACATAAATATATTTTTAGTTCATTAAAAAAAAAAAAATTTTTAAATAATTTGTGAATAATTTTACCATATGTATCTAAAAGTTGCTGATCAGATGATTGTTTTGGTTCAACAATTATTTTTGTTTTTTTCTCATTTTTACTGCAGTTGTCAACAGTTCTGTAAAAAAGAAAAAAAAAGTTTATGTTAATAATTTTGCAAACAGTCTTTCTAGAGTGTTTGCAAAATTATGTTAATAAAAAAAATTAGATATCTAGAAACAGTGTTTGCAAAATTATGTTAATAAAAAACTTTTAAGGGTTCAGTGTTCTGCATAATTATTTAATGCATAAGCTTTCAATCTAAATAAGTAACTAAATAAGTAATTATTTAAATAAGTAATAATTTAATGCATAAGCTTTTAATCTAAATAAGTAATAAAAAAAATTTTAAGGGTTCAGTGTTCTGCATAATTATTTAATGCATAAGCTTTTAATCTAAATAAGTAACTTTTGAATGTGTGTGGGTGTCTGGCTTGACCATTAGGTTTTAAGCATCGTAATCTAATCCAGTGTGATAGTTTAATGTTCATATTGTCAAAGTGGAGTACATTGGAAGAAGCTGTAACTCACCAGTCACAAAGAACATAATAATTTAGTTTCTGCATAAAAAATAAAAAATGCTTTGCAACAAAAAAAGTGCAAAAATTCAAATGTTAAACTTATGTTAAATCAGGTCAGAATAAGGATTGTCATTTTCACACTGTTACTGGTAACTACAAAAATACTTATTTTGGTCAAATGCTAACTACATCAGCTACTGTCACCAGACATACACGCACTATGTGAAAACTGCACTAATTACTGCACTAAAGTTTTCTTTTTTTCCCCTCAGCAAAGATTGCTGTTATTGATGACTTCTTGACACTGAATGGCTTCATTCAGTTCATCATACTGAATGGCCTAAATTTAGTACCACTAACAATGCTTTAAAGCTCAAAAAATTATATTTATCAATCCTTTAGTCAGTTGACTTTAAATTTTCCTAATCACTTATCTTCACATCTTGATTTGTATTTAGTCTCTGACCCTAGTTTGTGCTCAGTTTTTATTTGTCTTCCATAAGAAGAGATCATACTATGATCTCACTAAAAATGTTGGTTGAGATACTATGATCTCACTAAAATTGTTGGTTGAGATACTATGATCTCACTAAAATTGTTGGTTGAGATATTATGATCTCACTAAAATTCTCCATTTACTGAAAATGACTATATATATATATAAAAAGACTTATATAAAAAAAATGATCTCACTAAAAAGTGGCTTCATTTGCTGAAAAAACAAGTAAATAGTAATCTTGACAAAAAAATCTCATCTTTTTGATCGCATAGAACAGATAACAGTTCTTGAGTCTGATCTCTCTTCTTTTACAGTTTAGTGTTGGTAGTGGCTGGTAATTTTACAGTTTAGTGTTGGTAGTGGCTAGTAATTTTACAGTTTAATGTTAGCAGTGGCAAGTAACTTTACAGAAATATTTCACTTTATTTACTGCTAATAATTATTGCAACATTTTTAATATTTTACACATTTTTATAACACTTATAAGTTGATATTATCGATAATAAGGAATACTTTATAAACAACAGCTTTTTTAACCCTTCTGAATTCTGCCCTGTCTTAAAAAAATAACTCCCAACAACAAGGGCTGCACTTGGTAGTAAATTCATTTAAAAACTAGTTATCGACTTAATAAAATTATTAGTACTTAATAAAATTAAAAATAAACACGTATTTTTTAAAAAAAAAAAAGCCTAGAAGAACATTTCTTTGCATAAATAAACACTTGAATTCTTAAAATCTTACATTAAGTCAGCTCCCATTTTGTCAATTTGATTTTGAAGTTCGTCTAACTTTTGAATTAAATGTTTTTTGTCTAAAATTAATTCTTTGATTTGATTTGTGCTCTCTAATAACCTTTCTTCAAGTGCATGAACAGAATTAGACTCATTTGAATCTCTTAGCTCAACGCGCGACTTCTCCAACTGGTCTTTCAAACATTCTATTTCTCTACTGCTGCTGTCTTTTAATTCTAAATGTTAAGTTTTTTGTTAATATTCAAGCTGAAAGAATTCGAAATAAATTTGAGGAGAAATTAAATTTATAATATTTCATCAAAAAATATATATTTAATATTATTTATTTTAGAAAAATTAAATTCATAAATAATTTTTATAATCATTCATATTCAAGTAAAATAATTATTATACAGTTTATACAACTTTTGTATTTAGTGTTGCTATTTTAAGATAATGTCACTCAGCTGAATGCATATTAAAAAAATAACACTAACTAGTTAAAGATGACAACTTTTCTTTGCATGTCTTTAACAACTTTTTATTTTTTTCTTGAACTTCTGTGAGTTTTTTCTAAAAAAAAAATTCATATAAAACTTACTAGTTGTTAAAGCTATTTTTTACCTCATTGCAAATACATTGACATTTATATACATATAATACATAATACACACATATATATGTATGTCGTACATACGTACATACATACATACATACATACATACATACATACATACATACATACATACATACATACATACATACATACATACATACATACATACATCATGGGTGATGTGGAAGTTATCTGACAAATATGAAGTTGATTATTTGAGCAAAATAAATTGTTTTTGTGGTTTTTATTGTTTTATAGATTGTTAATGCATAGGCATTAACAATCTATAAAATATAAACTTTATTATTTGAAATTATTATAATAGATTTTTTTTTATTTATAAAAAAGTTTTTGATTTTGTCCGATAACTTAGCATCACCCATTACATACATACACAGGGCTTGAAATAATGAACTTTTTTCTACCGGACTATTTGTCTGGTAAAGACTCAAGTTTGCCGGACATGGCCAATAAAAATTAAAAAAGTGCGATCAAATGCCATTCCTGAACACGCCTAAAATGTTTTGTTTATACAACTTGACAACTCTAGGCATTTCAAAATGTATTTTTCAATATCAAAAAGAAAATCTTAAAGATATAGAAAAATCTAAGCTCAAAAAACTAAAATTTTAAAAGAAAAATTTATTTATATTAAGTTTTTTTTTAAAGTTACATTATGCTTAATGCTTTGTAAATGTATTAAATACATAAATTATTATGTAAATGTATTAAATACATAAATTATGTAATTACTAAATACATAATTAAATATGTAATAAGTATGTACAATAAATACAAAATTATTAAATACATCAATTACTATGTAAATATATATTAAATACATAAATTATTAGGTTATTACTTTATTAAATATTATTTATTACTTTATTAAATAAAGTTACAAATTAATTCTAATGTTTACAATAAACACATTTTATTTAAATCTTAGTATAATATAGGTATTTACATTATTATTTATTTTTTCTTATAAATTTTTTTAAACTTTTTTTAGGATTAAGTTTATTAACACTTTTAATAGCGAAAAAACAATAGTTATGCAACAACTTAAATTTAATAGCGTAATTAAAAGTACTTGTTTCTATAAGCATTAAAATAGCTATGACATTAAAATTTTTACAAAATAAATTTAAAAGGAATTTTGAAAGCTAAAATATTTGTTTGAAATTTATAAAAACCATCAGACAAAAAAAAAAACTTAATTATAAATTTAAATTAAATAATTGTAACGTTTTAATTTGAATAATAAAAACTGGGTTACTTAATTCGAAAAAATGTAATGCTTTGGCGTCTTTTAAAAATGAGTAAACTCAAAAAAATGACGTATTTTATTAACATAGCCCTGTGTTCAACTTCAACTTTGTTTCATATAAAAAATTAAAAGCTTAAAAAATAAAGCTTATATACAATACTAAATTTATTAATAATTTTGGAACAACTAAAATGATTAAAAACTAAATGCACCTAAAATATATGTCGGACAAAATAACCAACAGATGTAGTTTTTTAAGGGACAACGCCAGACAATTATTGATGTTTGGCGCTTATTTCAGGCCCTGCATACATAAATACATACATACATACATACATTCATACATATACATATATATATATATATATATACAAATATACATATATATATATATATATATATATATATATATATATATATATATATATATATATACACATACCAGAGGCGTGTCTAAGGAATGTCTGCTACGTAGTTGGAAACATTCAAAAATATCAATGGGCATTCCCAATTATATTACACTATACTATGTACCTTTTTAATAAACCTACATTTTAAATCAAAAATAAGAAAAGAAAAAGTTTGAAAACTGAAAATTTAAATTCAGACTCCCTTTTTACAGACACCATGGTTAATTTATTTTTACTTTTTTTTTTTTTAAACATTTCTTAAAATTTATTTTTTATACATATATATATATATATATATATATATATATATATATATATATATATATATATATATATATATATATATATTTATATATATATATATATATATATATATATATATATATATATATATATATATATATATATATATATATATATATATATATATATATATATATATATATATATACACACGGGATGCCACCCCAACACCTTTTTATAAAGTATAAACCATCCCACCACCTTTTTATAAATCTCTCTATATATAACAATGATTAGGCGGGATGATATTTTTAATTTACTGAATAATTCCCGCTACTTTTTTTTCTCCACTTCGAGCACTGTGTATATGTATATGTATGTGTGTGTGTGTGTGCGTGTATGTGTGTATATATATATATATATATATATATATATATATATATATATATATATATATATATATATATATATATATATATAATTTAGCATAATTCTTTGCTTATTATTCTTTACTTTATTTGTTGTAGAAAATAGAGCTAAAACTTCTTTGGAATCTATTTCAAATTATTTTAAATTAGTTATCACAGATTCTTTGTTAGACCATTTGAGTACTGAGTTAAACACAAGGTTTGATAATAGAATTTTAGTTACTTTTTTCTAACCTTTTTTCTAACGTTTAAAGTCTTTTAGTAATGTTTTCCTAACCTTTATTATCTTCAAAAAAGATCTCAGAAATTCAGTGTTTTTGTAATAATAGTTAGAAGGACCACCTCATATCTTATAGTGATTTTTATATAACCAACCGAATTCTTTACTAAAAAGCCTAATTAGGCTTAATTATTATTTCCATATTATTATTTAACCGAAACAAAAGCTTAATTACTAAAAAAGTTAATTAGTAAATAAAAATTAAGAAGCTTAAATAAGCTTATTTATTATTGCTTTGTTAGGTGAGCTGTAAGAAATTTGGTTAAATTTTATTAAACTGATTAAATTGCAAAATAAGCAAACATTAAAACTTATCGTAAGTTACTTTTATCTCCATCTTAACTTCATATAAATGGGAGCAAATCTTTTCTTTACTTAGGCCATTTAAAATGAACAGGAATAAACTTGAACAGTCATGAGGGTATTTTAATAAAAGCTATTGCTATAACTGCTGAGTTAATAAGAAATAGGAAGAAAAACTTTAAAAAAATTTAAAATTGCTTAAAAACAGTAATTTCTTACTTTTCCATCAGCAAATTCTAATTTTAGGAGTTCCAGCTCTTTATTTTTCTCCAGCAATTTTTTTTCTGCTTCAAGATAACAACTATGAGTTTCAATATTTTTTTTCTCTAGATCATTGCTTCTTTTACATTCAGATACTAGCTGGGACTGAAGAGACATTAGTTCTTTAGATAGTTCTTCAGCAGCTTTGGTTTTTTCAGCAATTTGTATTTCAAATTTTTTCTTCTCTTCTTGATCAATAGTTTGGTTAGATGGTGCATCAAGATCATTGGACTGAACATTATTTGAAGAAACATTTATTATACTTGAAAAGTCAATATTATTTTCCTTAAGTACCTTTTGCAGCTGGTCACATATAGTTTTATATTTACGAGCCACTTTACGCACCTAACAAATAAAAAATCAAAATACAAAAATGTTAAAAAAAATATTTTAAACCATTAATATATTAACAGAACTATTTACATATTAACAGAACTATTTACATATCAACAGAACTATTTGCATATTAACAGAACTATTTACATATTAACAGAACTATTTACATATTAACAGAACTATTTACATATTAACAAAACTATTTACATATTAACAGAACTATTTACATATTAACAGAACTATTTACTTTTGATTACTAAACTATTATATGTAAATTCAATATTTTTTAAAAATACATTTGACATAAACTTAAAAATACATTTGACATAAACATAAAAAAAAATTAGTAATATTTTTAGAATTAACTAAACTATTAATTGGATAAAACTAATTCATGCTAAATAAAAATACCATTTTGCTTTTATCAGCCATTTCAAGATTTTTAGATTTCCACTGATCTAGTTCTTTTTGCAGGTTAGATAATTGCTCAGTTTCAACTGCTTTTGTAGATGCATTTGCTGTTGTTGATGCAGCATTAAGTTTATTACGAGTTGCTATTAAATCTGATTCTAATCCAGATATTTTTTCCTGTAAAAATTGACAAATTTAACTTGATTTTTTCATTCATTTAATTATGTTATTTACTATTGACTTATTTACTTGTATGAAGTATACAAGTTATATACTTCAAATAAATATAACTCTAATAGCTGTGACACCTTGTCATAACTATTCAGTAGTATTTATATTTTAACCTATTTACATTACATTATCCTTTTTACACAATAACTCAAACACAAAAATCTTAACAGGTTCAGAAAAAAATAAAAGGAGAACATTACACAGGCAAACGTTACACAAACATCAATATAGGAATTGCATTGTAATTGTAAATTAGATGTGTGTGTGTGTGTGTGTGTTTATATATATATATATATATATATATATATATATATATATATATATATATATATATATATATATATATATATATATATATATAATAATAATAATAATAATCTAGCCTCCACTAATAGCCCCTGCTAGAATTGTTATTTAGCCGGGGCTAGGGTTGCAAAAAACCTCATATTTGGCTGGGGCCCCTGGTTTCAGATAATGATAGCTATGCATTTTGAGTGTGAGGAGAAACTGTATAAAACATTGATGACAAGTTTGCAATTAAGAATGAAATACTTCAGTTTAAATAAAAAGTCATTGACTACATTATATTGAAAACAAATAAGAGGGACAAATAAGAGTTTCAGTACATACATAATCCATACCCTAATTATCAGTATCACACCTTTTTATGTTAATTCACCTCCCTAAGGCCAAGAAGGCCACTACAGACGAGGAAGCTACTTAATTGTGGTTATAACCCTCTCTCAACTTTATAACTCCAAAACACAAACCTTGACAAACAATGCCACTGTGTGGATAAACAATACTTTCAGGGAGGTAGGGGGGATCCAACTTGGAACCTCTCGCTTAGGAAGTGAGGGCTCTACCACTACACCGCTAGGCAACATGTTGATACTAAGAGTTATATAATGAAAAAAAAATAGTTTGCTTGTTTATTTTTTTATTATTTAAAAAAAGTAAATTAAAAAAAAGATCAGCAGTATATATCGCATTATGTAGACTTAATATTAAAAATAAAAATAATACAACAAAATAAAAAACCTGATTTTCATTTTTGAATTTCAATGTCTCTCTTTTAAATGTTTCAAACTGCTGCTTACTTCTCTTGAGATCTTCTTGCAAAGATGCTATAACTTTCTCATTCTGTACTTTAAGTGATTGAAGTTTTTTTAACTCTTCATTCTCTGATTTAGTACTTTGTATCATAAGTTGATTGGTTCGATTTGTCCATCGTTCTATCTAAAAAAAATTCTTATTTTACTAAAATTCAATATAATACTACAGATTACATTTTTAAATGTTGAAACATAAATATATATAATAAATAAAATATAAATATGGAAATACATAAAACATAAATATATAAATATATAAATACATAAAATAAATGTATATGTTTGTAGTTGTTTCAATCTCGTTGTAACTTGTTATAAAAGTTTTATATGGGTTATGAGAATTCAACAAACCACCACAGTAAATTGAAAATTATTTGATAAAATTTATTTGTAAATTTTTAAAATCTAAAAGTTTACAACAAACAACAAAAAAACTAGTAACTATTAAATCATTTGCTTTAATATTTACTTCACTAGTTATTAATTTTATTATTTACTTCACTAGTTTTTAATTTTAATATTTACTTCACAAGTTTTTAATTTTAATATTTACTTCACTTGTTTTTAATTTTAATATTTACTTTGTTTTTAATTTACTTTAATATTTACTTCATTAGTTTTTAATTTTTTGATCTGAAATTCCAGAATGCACACTCAAAATAAACATATTCTTTAATAAACAGAATCCTAAAATATTTATCTAGCTAGTTGTAATTACAATGCAAAAAAGAATTCTATTGTTTCATTTGGAGGATCATACATAATGTTTTAAAGTTTTTCAAAAATGATTCAAAAAATTTCAAGATCCTATAATTATCAATAAAAACAAGAATAAAGCACATCTCTACAATTTAACAACAAAGTTTATCTTGAATTAGTCAAGTTAAGTTGTCAACATTAGGATAATAAAAGTGAGGTGATGTAAATGGAATAAAATAAGTTTAAGGGCAATAATTTGAACCAAGAAATCTGAATTTTAAAGGATGTTAATGAAGCATCTTTAAGAAGCAGTGGAAATAATGGCAACCAAATTAAAATAAAATCAAAATATAAAAATCATAATTTATAATGCTATAAAAACTAAAATAAATTCATAAACAACTTTCTTTAGAAGCTAAAGTATAAATATATTTGAATTATAATGTACAATAAAACTAATACCTCTGATTTTAATGCTGTTTTTTCAGCTAGCCATACATTTTTTTCTCCATCAAGGGTCTTTTTACTTTCTAAAAGTGGTTTCATTTCAACTTCCATTTTTTTTACCTAATTGAAATAATAAACATGTAAATTGTTATAAGTGAGTTTAAGACTCTCTAATGACAGTTAAACTTTTTCTTTTTTTTTAAATTGAATAAAAATACAACTACTGAATTCAAAAAAAATCTACCTGATCTCGCAGCTGTTCATTTTTACTAATTAAGTTCAGTTTTTCTTTTTCTAACACATTATTTAAAACTTCAAATTCTGAAACTTTATTAACTTTTTCCATGACATCTTTATATTCTTCTTCACTTAACATATGACCTTGTGTTCGTTTCATCTCAAGTTCTAAAGCAGCTTTTGTTTCATCAATGTCTCTTTGCAAATGCTCTGCTCGTTGCCGGAACCTCATGCTTTCAGTTTTACAAGCTTCTGCTTTTGTTTCAGCAATCTCTTTTTCACGCCTAACGAATCTAATTTTTAGAAAAATATTATTAGCTTTGAGAACTAGCTTGGGTGTAACTAGCCTCTTAGCTTGGTCAACTTAGCTTGGGTGTAAATACATTCTGTAAAAATGATTTTAAAATTATTGTAATTGTACTTCTGTCTTGTAAAACTGTCTCTGATGTAATTTTATACCTATTTTTTAAATTTAAACCTTTAAATTCAAAAACCTTTAAATTAAAAAATACGAAATATATTTTTCATCTTTGTTTCCACAACTTTTGCAGAAATTGTTTTAAATTATTTTGTTAAAATAATTTTAAAGATTTGATAAGGAGCAATAAGAGTCACAATTCTTTTTATTTGTTACTTTTGTGTAAAAAAAGTAGTAGCCTAGAGTAACCTAGCTTATAAATAATATATACTTATTTTTAAAAATACAGTAAAAAATGAAAATAATTTTTCTTTGGGTTGTTATTATTGGCATAAAATACTATAATTTTATACTTTATTCAGTTCAAAACTGAAGTCTTTTTTAGGTCTTCTCATTCCTGGATAAATATTATATAATAATAAATATAATATAATAAATATTTCTTGCAGTAACAATAATAAACTTAAATTTACCTAAGCAACTCATAAACTTCTTCTAAAGATTTATCTGAGGATGTCAATGGTTCTTCAATAGTTGGGTTGTGTGATTTAGCAGCTGCCAACTGTGCACTGAGCTGTAAGATATAATACAAATTTTTAATATTGCAAAAACAATTTTAAAATTATCATAACTTAATACAAATTTATCAAAAAACAAATTTTGAAATTTGAAAAAAAACTTTTTGAACTTCTAAAAAAATATGAGTGATTAGAGGGTTTGAATTAAAAGAATTTTGAATAAGACAAGTAATTTGAAAAGGATTTTGAAAAGAGTTTGAAAAGGATTTTGAATAATAAGACAAGTAATTCTTCATATAAGAAAATAAGTGAAAAGGATTTAGAACAAGACAAATTCTTCATATAAGAAAATAAGCACAAAAAAAAAAAAAAAAGTGAAGTTCAAAAATCCGATAATTTTAGGATGTTTATATTTCTACTTTTACTACTCATTTCAAAATTATCATTATTGTATATTGTATGTATGTGTTTATATATTATAATATTGTATATTTCATGTATGTGTGTATATGTGTACATTATTGTATATTGTATGTATGTGTGTGTTTATATATGTATATTATTGTATAATACATGTATATAAATTTTAAGGTGGTCAATTCTTTTTTTTTTTTTTTTAATTGAATTAGGAATTAGGAAAGTTAGGAATATTAGGTATAATACCAAATTTTAGCATTTACTTCTGAAGATGGAAGCTCTATTTGAAATTATTTGATCCATATGATAAAATCTATTACTCATGCAACATGCATAGTTTTTACAACTTAAACACTCAGTATTTTACAAGAACATAATATTGAACATAATAGGAACTAATGTAATGAGCTTGTTTTTTAAAAAACTTGGTCATTGAGTACTTTCATTTTATTTTTTGTCATCACCCAAAACAAAGTTTTCTTAGAGTGAATTCAAATTAAAACTCCATTAAAAAGTTAAAAAAATATAAAGCTTTAAAAGCATGCATATAACATAGTTTTATCTTTTTTAATCAGTTCCTGATTAAATTCAAAATCTCAAAACTGTTTTTATTCTTTAAATACATTATAAACCTTTATTTTTTTTAAATATCTTTTTATATATAATGGGTGAGGAGAAATTAGTTACACAAAAATCAAACCCTTGTATTTTTAATGAAATATAAGCAAAAAATTTTTAATATTTTTTTTTAAGTTAATACAATATTTATTTTAACAAAATTATTTTTTATAAACCAATAGCACTCCCTTGTCGACTATTAATCTCAATTTTGTCTTTATACTCTTCATAAGTGATTGTAAAAATGTTGCATCATTTTTTTTTAAACACGCATTGATACGCCCAATCAATTGTTGTAAACTTTTGGCCTCCCACCCACTTTTATAAACACTAGCTAAGATCATCACTTTTATAAACACTAGCTAAGATCATCACTTTTATAAACACTAGCTAAGATCATCACTTTTATAAACACTAGCTAAGATCATCACTTTTATAAACACTAGCTAAGATCATCACTTTTATAAACACTAGCTAAGATCATCACTTTTATAAACACTAGCTAAGATCATCACTTTTATAAACACTAGCTAAGATCATCACTTTTATAAACACTAGCTAAGATCATCACTTTTATAAACACTAGCTAAGATCATCACTTTTATAAACACTAGCTAAGATCATCACTTTTATAAACACTAGCTAAGATCATCACTTTTATAAACACTAGCTAAGATCATCACTTTTATAAACACTAGCTAAGATCGGACCTGTAAAAATACGGATCTTTGTAAAATCAAACTTTTTTATACTTTTTCTTTATATATCCTTTTCAGATTCGTAAAATACAGGTCTTTACCAATTTACATATATATTCCTCACCGATTATTTCTAAACTTATTCCTTATTTACAATATTTTTTAGTAAAATAATTTATTCTAAAAAAAAATTTAGGAGCAAAAAACTTAACAAAAAACTTAAAAAAAGTGTAAACGTCTTTAGCATATGTTGAGTTTGCAGGCATGATTTGAAATAATCCCGTATATCTGTAACATGAGAAAACTTTTAAATTTTATTTTAAATTTTATAAATCTTTTTTGCCATATTATTATATTTTTGCTATAAATATACAACCAAGATTAAAAAATTTCAAAATTTATTTCATTAAGAGGGGGTTTTAAACCCTCCAAAGCAACACTGATGAAAGTGCACTTAACCACTGAGCTATCAATGAAAAGGTGTGCATACACCTGTGGTGTGCATACACCAACACTGATGAAAGTGCACTTAACCACTGAGCTATCAATGAAAAGGTGTGCATACACCAAAGGTGTGCACACACCTTTTCATTGATAGCTCAGTGGTTAAGCGCACTTTCATCAGTGTTGCTTTGGAGGGTTTAAAACCCCCTCTTAGTGAAATAAATTTTGAAATTTTTTCAATCTTGGTTATATATTTATAGCAAAAATATAATAATATGGCAAAAAAGATTTATAAAATTTAAAATAAAATTTAAAAGTTTTCTCATGTTACAGATATACGCAATTATTTCAAATCATGCCTGCAAACTCAACATATGCTAAAGACGTTTACACTTTTTTTTTATTTGTTATTTTAGGTGCCCCAAGTCTTAACGGTCTTGTCACAGAGCACCGCGGAAGTGCATTTATTCAGAAAATTCATGCCTCTTTCCTAACTGCGACACGAAATATGCCCAAAGCTTGTTTCAAACCTGGATCTCCTGCTTATAAAACAAACGCTCTAACCACTGTGCCATATTTACAGACGTTTGTACATAATGCTATACAAATGGAACTAAGAAGATCTTAAAGCACTAAAACATAGTCATAAAAAAAAAATTATTCTTATGATTATTATTAAGAACTAAAAAATAATATTGAACACTAATCTAAAAGTTAAGCCAAAAAGATTTTGCGCATTGACTTCAGTTTGTTTCAAAATAAACCTTTATGCATCAAGTTTCCTTTTGCATTTATCTTGCATACAAATGCATAAAAATTATGTTGCATACAAATGCATAAAAATATATAAAACTTGTACAGATATATCATTTTCACAGATAAGAGATTGTATTTATTTAAATAGTAATAAATAAATAGTTTTTGTCTTTATTAGAATATATCCCATAAAAATATATTTCATATATCTTTAATAAAAAGAGTTTTTTTCAAAAAAAAAAGAAATAAAATCATATTACTATGACTATCATTTTGAAAGGTCTGAGAAGCAGATGAGGTAGTTTTAGCAATCAGAAATTATCGAGAGAGGGGAAAATCTAAAGTTGAAGTTTCAAATTTTCCACTTGGATGTGACAATTTTTTAAAATATAATAACATAACTACAAAAAATCAAAATAAAACAGCTTGGGCAAAAAGACTTGTAATTATTAGAAAAGTTTACTTATATTAAATACGATCCTGAATAAAACGTTATATAAGTGGATTTTTTACATTTTATAAACAATATATATATATAAACAAATAAATTATTTGTTTATATATACATTGTTTATATAGGGATGGTTGAGCGCATTAAAGTTAAAAAAAAATTAGTTTATATTAAAATTAAAAAATGATTTTTATTATGTTTCTTTGCAAACAAAAACACACTATATTAAAATTTTTGTCATGTTGTTAAAGGAAAACTATATAATGATTTTTTTAACGGAAATAATTGCTGTAGATCAAAATTGAGGAGAGTATGACTTTTAATGCAATTTCAAAAGAAAATCAAACTGTAAAACTTGATAAATGTTTTAGTATGTTTTAACATTACTTAAATTGAAATTTACGTACGTTAGATATTTTCATACACATTCGTTCACGTTTTCTTATAAAACAAAGTGCTACGACTCTTTCTCGCCACTACCTTGGTTGCAATGGCTGCCATGGGTTCCGTGTCAAATATGCTTGAAAGGGCACTACTACTACTAACACTATTAAGTTCGGCAATAATATATAGAGATTCTGAGCCAATACTCCCCAAAAGTCTTCGATTGGCTGTGCTTTGGGGACATTAGGTCATATCAACCAGCATGAAATTGATATTTTCGTCCATCAGGGAAATGGCCTCTTTAGCCCTATGAACAAAAAAATGTAATTTAGGTTAATGATACTTATCGATGAATGGTATAAGTCATTCCTCTAAGCATTTTTTGATATAAATGCTTGGTTTTATTGCAGCCAATGTTGTTGATTGAAAGAGTGGTTTCGACATTCTGTGCTCAGATAGTGCTATCCAAACAAGAATTTTTTTTGGAAATTTTTCTTTTCCTGCAAATAGAACATTATCTGGACATTTGTCTATGTCGCCTGTGTAATATCTGGCGTTTCCAGGCATTTCATCGCTGCAGAAACAAAAGTATTTTTTGTCGTCTAAAATTAAAACAGATTCCTTTTTCAATAAAATGGTTTGTAGTTTCAGTTTTGGTAGCTTTTGGGTTTTTTACAAAATAATTTTTGACATTGACATAGATTATCCTAGTCATATTTTAAAAATCCGGAAAATGGTTTGGAAAAAACAGCAGGAAAGAATTCGGAATTTGTTTTCCCTTATTTATTTTTTTATTTCGCATGTAATTAAGTTGTTTTTAAATTTTTTTTAAGTGATGAGTGAAAAAGCTTAAAAAATAAATATATTATAAAAATATATACCTCAACTTGCATGTATTGAAAATATTTTGGATATCCGGAAAAACTAAAAGTTGAAAAAAATATCTGGATTTCCCGAAATATCCGGAAAAAGATAATTCCTGCATTGAAGAACTGCTCTTTCTTTGCCATTTAAAATTTTTTTTTAATAACATTTTTTTTTTTTGTAAATAAAACTAGAATATTTAAAAATACAAATTACATTAAAATGCTAAAATATAATATTATGGATTTCAAGCAAAACTAAGTTATCTTTTGTGTAACTAATTTCTCCTCACCCGTTATATTTATCTTGTCTATTTTTATTTATACACAAATTTATTTTACTATAAAAATATTTTTTACATCGTTATTTTTATTCAAATATATATTAAACTATTTAAAAATATAACCCTAATCTTAACCTCAACCCTATATAACGTTAACCCTTTGTCAATGTGGCAGCACTCTCATGTATGTTTTACTTATTTGTCAGTCCATACATGTACTTTTTACATTTCATGAAAATTTACCCTAGAGAAAAAACATTCATGGATTCACAAAAATGTCACTATTATTTTTTTGAAACGTTTTTTTCATATACTAAAACATTTTTGTAAAATATCTGATAGACTATTCCTTTTTATGTGTTCTATATAATACAATAATTCAGATTTTAAAATATCTTTTAATAAAAATATTGCTTAACACTTAACGCATTTCTAATATTATAAAAAGAAAAGTTAGTCATGTTGGACCTCAAATGAAGTGAAATTTATAAAAATTATTTAAAAAAAACTTCTTTCTAAAAAAAGTTTAAAGTAGCAATAGACATCACACTGATTATCAGACCATCACAATGGTATTTCAAAAATAATCTTTATAAAATTTCTTTACAAATCAAGTGTTAAAATTATGTAACTGTAAATTATGTAGCTGCCTACTTCAATTGTTAAATCACAGTCTGTAAATGAGTTCAAAGAAAAAATAGACAAGCTATGTTTTGCAAACTTATTTTTGGTTTTAGTTAAGTTATTTTGTAAAACCTTGTAAAACCTGTTATTGAATCCGACTTAACATTGACCATCATTTTCAAAAAAAAAAAATTATTTGAAAACTGTAACTGTTTTCAATTAAAATGTAAAAATACATTTTTTACATTTTAATTGAAAACAGTTAATTTTAAGCAGTAAAATCTAAAATGATAATATTTTTAAAAGCAATATTAGCGTTAAAAAAATTTAATTTACAAAAAACCATTAACTCCATGTTTTATTTGTTTTGAATTTTGATGACTAATTTTACATAAACAAATTTATATGTCAAATTATAGAGATAACTTGAACTTTTATAGTAAATAACTAACACATTTTAAATGTTAGTCTATTCTACTAATGTTCTATAATTCAATGCAATATATATAACATTGAGTGCAACTATGCACTCAATGTTATATATTACTATGTATTATATTAGTTTATTCTGATAACGTGTTACAAATAGAGTGCTATATGTTCTTAAACATAGCATTAATACAATAGTAAAAGCACTTATATTTTAATTTTTTTTCAACAAGATGTTTCTCCTTATGAACCTACAGAAGGGGAAACAGAAGATAACAGTTAAACAAAAAAAAAGACAAGTTTCTTTACTAACTGTACTGTTATATATATATATATATATATATATATATATATATATATATATTATATATATATATATATATATATATATATATATATATATATATATATGTATATATGTATATATGTATATATGTATATATGTATATATGTATATATGTATATATGTATATATGTATATATGTATATATGTATATATAAATATATATATATATATATATATATATATATATATATATATATATATATATATATATATATATATATATATATATATATATATACATATTGGTAAAATTAAAAAAACCTTTTCAACTTGTGAATGAAGAATAGAATTTTCATCTATAAGATCTTTTCTAGCAATTTCTCCTTTTCTTAACTCTATTTGGTGATGATGCTTCATTTGCTCCATCAAATTATTGTTGTTTTCAAGATTTTTATTAATTTCAGTTATTTGAAGTTTTAAATCTTCATGGTGATTTTTATGAAATTGAACCTAAATAAATAAAATATGCATTTAATGGTTATAATAATATAGTGGTGAACTATTAGAGATTATTACAAAAAAATATATGAAAGAAGCATTTAATGATTATACTAATAATGGGGTAAACTCACAAGTTATTATAAAAACTAAAATTTAAGAAAAAAAAAAATACAAATTAAAAATAATATGAGCACTAATATTATTGACAAAAGTATTAAAAAATTAAAAAACATTTATATACCTCCTCTTTTAAAAGAGTAAACTGCTCAACATCTTTGGCATGCAAAATCAGTTCACGTTCATACTTATCTTGTGCCTATACAAAAAAAAAAAGCCATATAAACATGATTTAATTTTTTTTAATAAAATTATAATTAGCATACTCAAATTAATTAGTCAATATTAGCAATATTGAAAAAAAAACTATTTTATCCAATGACCAAATCTATTCAAATTCAAATTAAATCAAAATTAAACTATATACTAAATTAAGTTGTTACATCATATTTACAAATAGTAATAAGTACTAATATGAACACTTGTCAAATTCAATAATAATAAAATGATAATAATAACTTTAATACAGTAGATCATATAATACAACTAGGAATAAATAAATTTAATAGTATAACAAATATTTCAGTGATTAAAAATAATAGTAAAGATTATAAAAGTATAAACTATACTATAATAATAATAATGATATTAATAACAATAAAAACTATAACAAGAACAATAACTATATCAAAAACAGTAACATAAAAATTATATATCAAAAACAGTAACATAAAAATATATTTATATGACAATATTAACAACAGTAAGAATAATAATATTTAAAATGAAAGTATAGTAACAATAAAAATAATTTTAATAGTGATGAAGAGAACACTAATGAAAATACTTCAGTTTAAGAAAGATTAAAATAATAAATTAACAAAAGATATTATAATAAGTTTTATAACACAACAGAAAAGAGAAAAAATATTAGTTAAATAAAAGCTCAGAATTAGGGTTTTAAATAATAAGTTGAAAAAAGGTATAAGATTTATTAGCAATATTTTTCTAAAAAATAGTTAAGTTATAATTAATTTTATCAACAGTGAGAATCAGTCAACACTTTTTAATAATTGGATAAAATAAACTGTTAAGAAATATAACCTTCAGTAAAAGAGTCCACAGAAAAACAATTTTAAAAACATTTATTTTTATCATAAAGGTTTTATTTATCTTTTTGTTTTATTGACCAAGTTATAGAATTCAATTTTTTTTTTATATATATATATATATAAAAAATGAATTTTAAAACTTTAGATTTCAATTTTTAACAAAAAATTTTAAATATTTCATTTTAACTGTTTTAATTGAATTGTGATATTTTTTCAACATTTTATTTTTGATGCTTTTAATGAAATTTAATTTTAAAAAAACAACAACAACTAAAATAGATCAATTAAAAAACTAAAAATAAATAAATACATTCAGATTATCTGCGTTCTATCATTTTTACCATAATTTAATATTATAATTTATACCAACAACCGAACAAATTAAAACTTTATTGGATTATTTGTGTAATAATAAAAAATAAAACAACCTCCTTGGCTAATGCTGCTTGAGTTTGAGCCTCCTTTACAGCAGATTCTTCAAGCTCTTTTGCATTAACAAGAGCACGGGTAACTTCTTGAAATCGTCGTTCTAAAGGAGCCATTTGGGTACGAAGCTCAGAAACTTGAAATTGATGCATTTTATCAGCTTCTGAAATTTTTTTATTCAACTGTATCTTTTCAGCAGTAAGGGCTTCCACCTGTTTCTTTAAGTTCTCAATAGCCTCATTAGCAATTTTAATTTTTGACTGTAAATCTGCTTCAATTGAATCTTTTAACTAATTTTGTTAAACAATAAAAACTAAATTTAACATTATAAAACTTTGTTTCTTTTTTATTAAACAAATATTTAAGTTTTAATATTTATCACTTTAAAGCAACAATAAAGCCTAAAAAATATGAATTACATTTGCAAGGGTGGTAATTGCATGCTCATTGGAATCACCAATTTCTTTGTATTGTTCCAAGTGTTTTTTAGTAGCAACAAGCTGTTCCTCCAAAGCTTTAAAAAATAAAATAAAAAATTAGAACACATTAATCACTAATAAAATATATTAATAGTATAATAATGAATATACTTTTTTTTTCATTGATGTTGTTTGATAAAGTAAGTTCCATTTCTCTTAATTTTATTTTCAAAAGTTCCATTTCATGATGAGTTTCTTCATTTTCTATAAGCAAAAGATGATGGAGAAACTAAAGGTAGTTATTAATAATCCTAATAATCCTAATTCAATAAAATTCAATGGGCATGTATTAATTTTGAAATGCTTGTATTTATCAAACTAAAATTTTATACAACAAAAAAATATTAAAAATGTAAAAACTACTAACTAGTACAAAAATTTCAAATAAAAAAATTCAAACATAAAATTCTGATTCAAATAAAAAATTTATATCATTATTTATAAACTTATTACAAAAATTTTTATAACAGATCTTTGAATTGTTAATGACTTATGATTTTACTTAAATCTTAAATACAATAAATAAAAGAAAATAGAAATAGTAATGCCAAGAAATACAACTAGCCCAAAAAATTTCCAGAGATCCTTTGACAAAGTTTTACATAGGAGATAAGCACTACAGCTTGAAGTATATGGCATTACATCTATGTCATTGAAGTGGATAATTTCTTTTTTAACTGATAGGAAGCAAAGAGTTGTACTTGGAGAAAGTGTATCATCATGAGTAGACATAGTAAGCAGTGTACCACAAGGTTCTGTGCTTGGTCTAATTTTATTTTTAATATACATCAATGATCTACCAAGTCAACTTACAAATCAATTGTTGTTGCATGCAGATGATTGTAAAGTAACAGCTGAAGTTAATAATGAAACGAATGCACATGCTTTACAAAATGACATTTCTATGTTAGAAAAATGGGTAATAAACTGGAAAATTCAATTCAATTTTGAAAAATGTAAAATCATGCATATTGGTAAAAAAAAAAAAAAAACTATAAATATTTTATGACTAACAATAATATAAAGCAAGAATTAACTACAACTAAATTGGAAAAAGATCTAGGCATATTAATCTCGAATGACTTAAAATGGGAACCACAAATAAAAATTGCATTATCTATTGCAAACTATAAATTTGGTATAATATACAAATCATTTAAGTATAAAAATAGTGAACTAATAAAATTGTAGTTATATACGGCCGCATTTAGAATTTGCAATACAGGTATGGAGTCCTTATCTTGAAAAAGATATAAATATATTAGAAAAAATTCAAAAACGAGTAACGAAATCTGTACCTGAGCTATGTCATCTATCATACAGTGAAAGACTAGAAAAAATGAAAATAACATCTTTAAAACAACGAAGAATACGAGGAGATCCCATACAAACGTACAAATGGTATTATGATATAGAGAAAATAACTTGGAAAATAATTTATTCACCGATAAGGAATATTTAAATCGAAATCGTGAAGGTTTTTTTACAAATCGCACAGTCAAGTTCTGGAACAATTTACCAATTGAAACTGTGGAAGTTAAAAATCTCAACTTATTTAAAGCTAAACTAGACTTAATTGACTATCTTTAACTTTCTTGTTATGTCTGTAAAAGATTTAACATGGCGTTAAATCTCAACAGTATTACATACTTTTATATTATATCTAAAGTAATT